AGTTCTAGGTTGGCGACAGCGTCCTCCTGAAGGTCTCACCCTGGAAAGGCATGATACGCTTCGGAAAGCGTGGAAAGCTAAACCCAAGGTACATTGGACCATTCGAGATCCTTGCTAGGATCGTCCTGTAGCATACAAACTTCAGTTACCGCGCGAGAACTCAGCAACATTCATCCTGTTTTCCATGTATCGAACCTAAAGAAGTGTCTGTCCGATGAGACACTTGTGATTCCACTCGACGAGATTGAAATCAACGAGAACCTTAACTTTGTGGAAGAACCGGTCGAAATCATGGACAGAGAGATCAAACGAACAAAACAAAGTCGCATCCCGATAGTGAAGGTTCGCTGGAATGCCAAGCGAGACCTGAATTCACTTGGGAGCGCGAAGACCAGATGAAGCAGAAGTATCGCATCTCTTTCCAAATCCATGATTTGTATTCTAGGTTCAAATTTCGGGACGAAATTCCCTCTAACGGGGGGATGATGTGACAACCCGAAATTTTTCCCGTTTTGTTATGCATTTCCGTTAATGAAATTTCAGATCCGTTAACTTTCCATCAAAATTTTGGTTTTTTAATAAAATAATCTAGCTATGCTTAATTAATTATTTACAAGTCGGAACCAAAAAGCGCACGGAAAACCTGAAAATCTCGTAAATCAGCATTTTGGTCAAAAATGGGATTTACGACTGTAAACTAGTTTACGGCCGTAAACTCGTTTACGACCGTAAACTGGTTTACGACCGTAAACCCTGTTTACGGTCAGTGACGAGTGGACCCCATTTTCATCCTATAAATACGATACCCCCACCTTCATTGGAACATTTCTGGCCATATTCTCTCCTCCTCTCTCTAAGAATCTCAAACCGTAAACTCTCAAAAACGCATTTAAGCTTCGGAAAACATCGAGAAACCACGTTTGGAGTCACTGGGAAACGCCTGGAAACAATTATCTCTTTGAAAACGGCAAGCAGGACCATTTTCTTGAGTTTACGGTCCACCTTCAAAAACTGTAAACCCTGTTCTTGAGTTTACGGTCCAACCATCAGAAACCGTAAACTCTGTTCTTGAGTTTACGGTCCAACCATCAGAAACCGTAAACTCTGTTCTTGAGTTTACGGTCCAAATTTCAGAAACCTTAAACTCTTTTCTTGAGTTTACGGTCCAAGCCTTCAAGAACCGTAAACTCCTCTTCGACCGTAAACACCTTTTAGTGGTGTTTTTGGCTGAAAACTCCCCCTTCGATTCAGCAAGTCTCGGTAACATTCCTCAACCAAATTCAAGGGTTTTCCGACACTTTATCTAACGAAATCGCTAATTTAGCATGATACGTATTTATTTGTTAAGAGATTTCGTTAAGTGTCACGTGCAACAACTCGGGAACCTTCTTTTCAGTCACAACACTTACGCAAAACTGTGAGTTCATACCCCTACATTTTTCCGCATTTTTAATGTTTTCAGGGGGGAATACAAGCTAAACATAAATGTTTTCTTCAAGCTAAACAAAAGTGTTTTCAGAAATACACATAAAACTTATGCAAATTTCATACTTTAATTCCCTTTTGTACCATGTCGAGCATAAGGGGCGTTTCACAAAAATGCATAGTTTTTACGGATACGCTATTCGCTACATGTAAACTATAATCGGTATAGTTTGGGATTTCTCTAAAAAACTTATCAGACCTGGAAACTTTCTCTACTACACCATACGCACTGGAACAGAAAACCGTTTACAGTTTATATCATTGCTTAACATGATTTTCATAACTGTAATTTATCACTATACGCAGTATACATTCGGATTTTCACTACGGTAGAACGCTACTGCATTACTTGTAAACTAGATTGTGCGATACTGTGAGGCGCTACTTCACTACTGTACCCTTAGGTGTACAGGGATAAATCCTACCACTGTATAACCAGAGTCTCCTGGAGGGAGAGCGTGAGGTTTGTGAATAGATCTATTCGGGACTGACAATCCCACATCTGGACTGTTAGCTACAGTTTGGCGGGCACGCCTAAGATGTACAAATATCATTTAACATCAACGCCTGAAGAACGTTGGAAAGGTCACTAGTCCTATCAAGCATGGGTATATGACTCACATTTGTATAAATCACAGATAGTTTTACCAACCTGGTTTCTTCAATAGTTTTTATTTTACCCATGAACTAAACATACATGCATACTGGCCGAGCCAGGGTTTTCAAAACCGAATCATTATGATACGGTTTTACATTTAAATACATATACTTCATCATTAGCTTTAGCTAGTCACATGAGTAGTATTTGCATATCACTACGATTTTTCAGAAACAAACATTCATGGTTGTATACGAAATCGATAACACTACGTTTTTCACTAAAGCATTTAGAGTTTTAAGCTTTTATTTTTCAAAACTATTGGATGTATTTCAAACTGAGTTTTCAAAACCGATGTGTAAACATTTCATACAAATATTCACTGTAAGGTTGTGTTGCTATGATTGCTGTTATTCATTGGTTGTGATGCTATACATGACGTCCTCCGCCCCGGAATGTTTCCGCCAACGGTTTCGGGGTGTGACACACATCATCTATAATATTTTCAAAATCCATAAAGAAGTCTTCATCCTCACTATCATCATTTGTCCCAATGCTCTCACTCCTATTACCCTCACTCGAACTACCCTCACTCCAAGCACCCTCACTAACATTTTCCTTACTTCCACTATATTCATCCTCAAAAAACTCAACATTATGTAGATTTTTATCCCCACTATATTCTACGTCTACATCCCCTATTACCTCGTAATCATCCACTGGATTAACATCCCCTTTTGGTTGGTGATCATCCCCTGTGTCAACAGCTCTTTTACCTTGGTTATCCTCAAACTCCCCTAAAGGGATCAAACTGATCAGCTGAGTGTTTTTTGTTGATCACATGTTCAGAGGGTACAATCAACTTTGACAAATCAGTGGGCTCATTCAATTCCAACTTTTTACTACATGACCCAACTGATTTCCTTTTCATTATAACCCTATTCATTTCAGGAGAATGATCCCCTTCAACTTCCTCAATATGAACCTTCGTGCGCTGTGTGAAACATAGGTCATCGTCGTTACCGAGACTCAGATTAAGCTCCGTCTCGCAACCTTGTGGGGTTAGGAGTAAAGCATCCCGAGGTTGGCGCATCTCGTTGAGCATGGAGAAGCATTGGGAACCCAAATTTCTTTCTTCGGAGCCGTTTCTTTTCCCGTCCCCCCGCCCCGGCATAGCGCTTCGCTTCCGGTTCTTCGAAAGAATCAAGTGACTTCTCCCTTCTGCATTGATCTGGGGGGAAAGGAACCGTCTACCAGTTGGGAAGCTAGACATCAAGTAAGTGGCTTGATGAGGATAACTAAGCTGACATGCCGGAGTTGGCTGCTGGCACAACAGGGTGGTGCCTTACCGCACCGACATCCCATTCTTAAGTGAGTTGGAGCGCATGCATCTTACCCACTGAACTAGCTAGAAGCTATCGCTTCGGGTCGAAGCACTAAAAGAAAAGGACCGGGAAAGGCGGCGGCATAGGAACCACGAGACCCCTACTAATCAAGGGAAAACGGAAGTGCGCTACTGCGCACCAGCTGAAAAAGCCCTTTCCCTTTTTAATAAAAAGAAGGTAAGCTTCATAGCTCCAATCTAGTAAAGGGGATTTGATGGATGCCCTTTGTATAGGTTGGGTTGTTGGATACGGGATCCTCGTAGTAGGCTGGACCAACATCCAACCGAGAGAGGGCAGTCTTTAGAAGCAACAGGTTGGGAAACCAAGAGAACGCTTGGCCTTTTCTTTATCTTCTTCCCGCCCTATGAGTAGGAGTAGCATAAAAAGAGGGATTAGCATTATGGACCATAAACAACTAACGCCTTCCTCGTTGGGGCTCCGTGCACTGGGAAAAGGCTCCAGCGACGGGAAACCGGCCACTAGTTACAAAGCTCCAATAAGGTATCGAGAGGGTTATCACAGTCAGGTGCGAAGTAATTAGCCCTATTTGTAAAGTAGCTCTATTCCTATTTAGGGAGTGAAGGCTAAAAATGGCTTTATGAACCGTTCCGTTCGCCACGCACCGGCCCCATTCACTTGCTTATCGTAGAGGCTGTAAGTACACAGTGCCCCACAACTATGAATAGTATAGTGGGGTTGAAAGACAAGAGTGTCCGCCCCCTTCTTTCTCAAGTAGGCTACTTTTTCCGGAACGCAGTCCGAGATAACTGTAACCGTGTATATATCTAACTATATCTTCGATGCGGTCTGTCCGCTTCAACCGCTCTTTCACCTCCCAAAGAGCAAAGTTGTCTTGATGAGCGCAGATGAGGAAGCGGGAGCAAGAAAACCAAGAATATCTTTCTTGTCCTTCTACTTAAGGGGCAAAGAGAAGCGTTTTTGCTACTGAGAAAGCGAACGGTCAGCGCGAAGGTTCAAGACTTAGCCGAACGTTAGCGAAGCTAGATTCTCATAGTGAGGCGCTTCGAGTTAGCGAAGCGCTGTAGTAGGGCCGAAGCCTTACTAAGAAGGGCTATAATGCTGAGCCAAGGACGCTCCGCCTTATCTATAGAAGCAGTCAACTGACTTCTGAACGAATTCGCTCCTTGGTTTCTATAGAGAGAAAGCCCTATGATGGGAAACATACCTTCCAAGGGTAATCCACTATCTAAGTCTGTCTCTAGGATCATGAAATGGTAAAACATTATACCTCATCATTGTACCCTAAAACTGCCATCATATATATCATCTAACTCGTGGACTGAAAACACATCCATGTCCACAAAATCAAAGTGATCCACAAGCCCATCCATGTACGACCTTCCAAACCATATTTGAGAACGAACACCCATGATTTTTGAATGAGCAAAAGCTTGAAATAGAACCTGAGGTGAAAATTCAAGAAAAAAATGTTACAGATAGATGGAGTAACGTTTCAATTTTGAAATAAACTGCACATATATTATATTTATTTTTTGTATTTTTTACAAGGCTATATTTTTAGTTGTCAAAAATATGTTCAAATTGGTTGATGTACCAAAATTTCACCACTACTGTCCTGTTCCTCTAACCTTCAGACAAAACAAAATAATAATAACTAGAAATGAGGCCCGTGCGTTGCACGGGTCGGTTTTTTTGTTGATGTTTGGCAGGTCACAAAAGTAGGATGCTATAATGTCATTCAAATACTAAGCAACTGGATAGATTGAATAGCGTATAATGTCCTAACGTAAGAAATGAAAGTAAACAAATAAATTAGTGTACGTTGTTATTTTTTGCATTTAACGCTTTTGCCTGATATTAAAAACATTTCGAGTCGAAATCCCATTCTTCATAACTTGAATAAAGCCACCTGAAGAAAAGAAAACATATTTTCTATTATTATCGTATTGACATTTTTTTTGGATGAAATTGTGCACTATGGCATCAATCCTCATAGAAGACTCTAATAGCATCATACAATTTATTAATCACAGGATAATCCAAAAAATAACAACTCTTGTTTATGAACAAACTTGGAGCAACATGAGTTGTCTGTAAGAAAAAACCCAAATTTTAGTAAATGATTAGGTGCAAAATTTATTTTTTGAATTGAATTTTGTTTTTGAATAATGTGATAAGATGATACAAACCTGATATCCATACATATCAACAACATTAATCTGACCACCTTCTTCAACCAAAAGCTCTGTAACTTGTATAGCTCCTCAAACAACACTCCAATGTAATGTTGCAGATTTTATAAAAAATAGAAAACGAAATAACTATGACAAGTTTTCCATGACTTGCATTCTACACTCCTGTCAACTCCTGTCACAAACTCTGTATCCTCAAATTTCTTTGCTGTTGAAATCACACTAATATATGAGATCACCATTTATCTAACTGTCTTTATTCATATTTTTAGGCAGCAAAATCTTACCAAGCTTAAATCTGTAGGCATTGAGATCAACACCAACCATCCTTGAAGCACCTTCAATTCTAGCACCTTCAGCAGCCTGATCACAAACAAAATATTAGCTTTTTTTGGCCATGAATGAGTCTTTTTTGAGAAAGTTACAAGTTCCAGAAAAGTGACAGCAAGCCCCACAGCTCCAAATCCAAAAATGGCAACAAATGAGCCTTTTTTAGGTTTTGCAACGTTAAGAGTAGCACCAAGACCTGAAAACGGGAAGATTATCTGAGTCAAGAAAATACCAAATGGAGCATTTATCTGTTCAGATGGTAATATTAGCTAGACCTATGTTAAGAGTGATGACCAAGAATCATATAAATTTGAAGAAAAAAATTACTTTACCTCAGAAAGCCCTATAAACCATCTTTGGCTTCCAAATTATAAAAACTTCTTGTCTTTTTTCTGTAGCACCAACGTCCCTACAAAATAAGAAAATGTTACCTGATCAAAACCCAGATGGGCATCATATCTAGAAGCTGAGCAAGATTGGTACTCGAAGATACCGACATCATCTGTCGATATCCCTTGTGTTGGTCAATTAGGGCGTGGTACTCCAAGTAGATTCAAATATTGAAACCGAAGAATAGCTGGCTTCACGAATTTATGAAACTTGATTCAATCTGTGAAATATAATCAACTGATTTACCAAACATTTATTCAAACATACATAAACACAGATGAATAGATGAAGGCAGATATACAAAAGTAAAGAGAGAAAGATACAGGAAGAGGTAGTGTAAGCTGCGATTGAACAAAATAGCAAGAAACATGGAGTTTTCTTTGTTTAAAAGGAAAGAACCGATCAGGTCGCATAAAAATCAACCAATGACAGCATCGTTGCCATGGACCTTTTGCCAGTTTCGTATTCGAGTCCCCGGAGAAAAAAGATAGTGATTCCTTTAGCCATATCAGCTAGCAGTAAATTTAGGGTTTCCTATTGGTTCAAATCCGAACATCAAGCCGATGAACAATTAGGGTTTTTGTTGGGCACCACCGGCCAGCGAACATCGGCGTATTTGGAAGGGGAAGGTGACATTCATCTGGTGGTTGCCGACATTCACAGCGATTGGAGAGAGAAGGTGGAAGAGGAAGGAAGCGGTGGAGGCATCGATTAGGGGATGGAAGGATCAGGAAGTAAAACGGTTAACTACAAATGAAGTATCCTCGTCCGTTTCCATTTCCATTAACTACAAAACGCCAACAAAAAATACAAGCGAAAGTGGAAAAAGAGAGGAATTAGGTTGTAAATTTGAATGATCCAATTTTATTTGGAAGACAAAGAAGTATGAGAAAGAGGAGTCGCCGGAGAAAAGATGGAATATTCTATCACTTCACTATTTTAGTTATTTTCATTTTATTTTAGTTTAGTGTTTGTTCTTTCTTCGACAGAATCCTGAAAAAAAGAGGGGAAACCCCTTCGGAATTAAATTATGATCTCTGTTCCTTCTTTCATTTCACATAAAATGGAGAGGTGAATTGATGTACTTATTGGATCCGTCGGGACTGACGGGGCTCGAACCCGCAACGTCCGCCTTGACAGGGCGGTGCTCTTGCCTATTGAACTACAATCCCAGGGAAATAAGAAGAGATCTAACAGAAAATTTGGCTTCTTTTTTATTCTCTCTTATCAGGTATTTCTTAAGAACAAGAGGGTTCTACAATTTAATAGTATATTGGCGAATTTTTGGGCCGAGCTGGATTTGAACCAGCGTAGACATATTGTCAACGAATTTACAGTCCGTCCCCATTAACCACTCGGGCATCGACCCAACGCCTAATTAACCACTAGAGGTATACCAAGACCATAGGAGTAGGATTTTATCAAAAGTGAAATGTATTTGTCAAGTCCGCCTGGTAGACGAAAAGAAGTTGATTATGGAACGTCTAATTAGGCGTTGGGTCGATGCCCAAGTGGTTAATGGGGACGGACTGTAAATTCGTTGACAAATATGTCTACGCTGGTTCAAATCCAGCTCGGCCCAAAAATTCGCCAATATACTATCAAATGGTAGAACCCTCTTGTTCTTAAGAAATACTTGATAGAGAATAAAAAAGAAGCCAAATTTTCTGTTAGATCTCTTCTTATTTCCCTGGGATTGTAGTTCAATAGGCAAGAGCACCCGCCTGTCAAGGCGGACGTTGCGGGTTCGAGCCCCGTCAGTCCCGACGGATCCAATAAGTACATCAATTCACCTCTCCATTTTATGTGAAATGAAAGAAGGACAGAGATCATAATTTAATTCCGAAGGGGTTTCCCCTCTTTATTTCATGTTTATTTCATGTTTATTGTCCGGCACCGACGGGGCTCGAACCCAAACTGTAAAATGAGCTATTGCCAATTTTAGTAAAGAAGTACAGGGACCGGATATGTAATTCAAGAGAACAAACGTGGACAAACTATACCAATTTTACTGTTCCTTTCCTCCACAACTTTAATATAATAATAATAATAATAATAATAATAATAGCACCGGTTATATTCATTGCAGAAATTTCTTACAAGATGTAATACTACAAAAATCATCAAGGATTACAAACAAAAGAATCAACCACGAGCCAAAACGTCACTTGGCTACAAAACATGAACATTAATTATAACACAACCACATCATATATCATATCAAGGGAATTTGAAATTCTGCCTCCGGCTGCCGTCCGGCGGGTGGATATACAGGAAAATCAGCGACACCACAATGCATATCAACATCGACCACAGATACACAATCGTCGATATCTTCCCCTTCCTCCCCATCAGCCCTTTAGCAAATGGATACAAATGCGATAAAACCCAGAAGCTAAAGAACACCCCTCCAAGAAGCTTGCTCCACTCCGGAAACGGACTGTACATTGTCCTAAACACCCCCACCGCTATCGCCGCCACGTTCATCAAGATTATCGTCACCGGAGGAATCATTAGCATCGTGAACCGGAACTCGTACAGCTCTGCAAACTCATCTTCACCGTCATCCGCTGCTGCTGGTTTTGATGTCAACGTGAATGAGATGTCGATTCCGGCAATCACCTTTAACAGACCTTGAACCACTGCAACTGGATGCGCACTGGTGCCGCCGATCAACCAAAACTGCTCGTTTCTCCACCAGTCATGGAGGGTGATCTTTGACCATTTGACCTCGAGGAGGGCGAGCATGCTTAGGGTAACGGTGATGGCTAGAAGTAGAACTAGAAAAGTTACGTTTAGAGATTGAACGATGAATTTGCCGGAGAAGAGGGAGAGCGCCGGGAGGACGCAGTATGCCAAGAGGAAAATTGAGGTGAATGGGTACATTCCGACGTTGAAATACGCAATCCTCTGTAAAAACTTCATTCTCCGGCTAGCAAACAGAGCGTTGTTCCTTGAGAAAAAGATTTCAACTGACCCTGTAGCCCACCGGAGAACTTGAATCAACCTGTCTGTTAAGTTGATCGGAGCTGTTCCACGGAAAGCATCCCTTTTGGTGACACAGTACACCGATCTCCACCCTCGATTATGCATCCGATAACCTGTCACAACATCTTCTGTTATTGACCCGTATATCCACCCGACCCGTTTACCCCATTCGGTTTTATCTTCATAGAAACAGGTCACGACCTTAATTGCTTCTTCAATGGCTGCTCGATCGATTGGTTCGCGTTGAACTGCAAGAGACCCAGAAGGTCTTCCATGGCTGCCTTTTCCACGTAACTCATGAATCAATCGTCCTCCAAATTCAGCAACAGCAATCGAGTCGATCAAATAGGTGGAATCTCCGAAGCGTTCTGGAATCAAGGCCTGTTTGAGTTCATCATCTTCTTCGCTGTTGTTCCGATCATCTACAATCGGCAAGATCATCTCAGCATCGTCATCCGATTTGTTCTTCTTCATTCTTCTCAATGAAAACTTGATCTTCTTCCCACCAAACCATCCATGGTGTTCAGTGGCTCGAGGTGGGCTAAAACCGTAAAGCGCAATTCGCCGGAAAATACAACCGGTGCCGACGTACATCGGACCTTGCAACCCGTCGAGAGCTCTCATGCTAACATCAAAGAACACCGTGTTATGATTTGCGTAACGATCACTGGGGTCGATACCTTCGAACCTCTGGGGGAATTGAACGTAACAGATCTTGTCACCACCTCGATCAAGCATGAAACACATTCCTTCTTTTAAAGCCAATGAGTTATATATGTAATGATCACAATCAAGGTTAAGGATAAACGATCCGTTTGACATGATCGCACTTGCTCGAACCAGAGCATTCATGGCTCCTGCTTTCTTGTTGTGATCAAATTCAGGACGCTTTTCTCGAGACACATAAACGAGCATCGGTAGTCTCGTATCAACGTTTCGTGAGTCGATCAAATCCTCTGGATCGTTTTCTGTTTTGTAGGTACATTCAGGACCTGGTGGAACCAACATAAGCTGGATAATTCCGGCATGGTTACCTCTTGAGTGATCTTCTTCGCCAGAAAACCAGGTTCCATGCCACGTGTTTCCGTCGGACATCCATGTAGCTTTAGGGACTTTCACTGATTCCGACGAGCTACCACCAAACTCCATTTGTTTCTTTTTCGCTATAAGCTCTTCTCTTGCATTACAGGCATCGGATCTTCGCCGGATGGTCTCCGGCAATGCGTTGATCCTGACTTTAAACTCGTCGTATTCTCGTTTAACCCGTCTTCTTTCCCTAACGAAATCAACCCGTCGTTTGTTCTTCAACGGATCACCTTTCTGTGAAAAATACGCCTCTGGGTTTCTGGGCTCGATTTCATGTTTTCTGCAGAAAGGTACCCATGTGCTAGCGAAGCTAGCAGCTTCAGCCAGAGCTTCAAATGTCACCAGTGATCCACCATCGTCGGATAGGTAACAGGCAACTTTATCAACCGGATAATCGACTGCTAAAATTGAAAGGATGGTGTTTGCAGTGACGAGAGGTGGTTCTTTCTCGGCATCTGCTGTTGAAACGAAGATATCAATACCAGGAAGATCGGAGAGTCCTTTAGGATTGTTCGTGGTGGGTTCGAATCTTTCTTTGAGCACAGAGAGATCTGTGGATCGGGTGACTGGGCAGAGCTTGGGAAGTTGGTCGAGAAGCCATGAAAACGCGAACCAAACTTCGCAGATTACCGACATCAGCCATAACCAGACTGCTTCTTGGTTGGGATGCAAGATTCGCCATGTTAGAAACAGAGTCAGAGCCACCAGCCGGAAAACTATAAGCAACCTGCAATTCAATTTCGCCGAAAATATCTAAATTAAGACGAACAATTTTTATAAAATAAATAATCAACAGTTTTACAGCAACGAGCAATGCTAACCTGTAAGGGCTGATTATGGCAGCAGAAATCCCAACTTTTCTTGTCAACGGTCTGTTCCTCCGATCATTGAACATCGGCTGACTTTCGTAGTTGTCAGCACCACCACGGTGACATCCCTCTCTTGGCCACACCGCATTTCCGAATCCATAAGTTCCGTTTGTTTCGAAGAGCCACCGTGTGTGATCAAATTCTTGATTTGGTGCCTTAAAAGATCGCACCAGTGAAAAGTTGTTCTCCAGTTTGATACCACCACGGTTCTTCCTCAGCGGGTTCACCGTGTCTTTCTCCTCCGACATAATCGGCTGATAGTCATCTTCATCTTCTTCTTCGCCGGCTTCTCGAAATGGTTCTTTACACCCAGGACAAACACCAGCTCTACTGGAACAGTAATCCAGGTAACACTCGTTACATATTCTAAATCCACATTCGCACTGAGATTTCGAAGATTTATCCAGTAGCTTCTCGTCACATCCGTCCACCTGACAGAGCAATTTCGACTTACTCGCCACCATTTCTTCAACCGATTTCATCCTCCTGGCATGTGCTCTTGTCTCCGAATTGAATCCTCCGGTGAACACGGTGTCTTTGATCCGATTCTCATTTGGATTTCCATGAATTTTCCCATATTCAGGACTCGTAAGGGAATTTGACATGAAATGGTGCTCCGGCGTTGGAGGGATTTGAACAGTGTAAGCAACGTATTCATCACCCTCCTCCTTGGACATAGAAAGATACCTCCCTCCACCACCGACGCCATTCCCAGAACCTCGTCTCCCACCACTCAACCGCTTGATTTCTCCACCGCTAAGTGGAGAATTCGAAATAGAAGCTCTTCTCACCGGACTTGTCAAGCCCACATTACGAAACGCGCCGGAGGAAGAAACTGTAATCCTCACCGGAGACGACGACGGAGAATTATGATCTGTAACCACCATTTCTCACTCAAAGGGGATTGAATCACAAAAGTTTATTTAAAAT